CGCTTTGGAATTGTCATTGATACTTTTGGATTCCGGAAGAAAGCATGCAGAAACTACAGTAATTTTGATCAGCGATGGGTATGATCAGAAGCACTGAGGAAGATTTTATCATTCTAAAAAGCTTCAGATTCTCTCAAGATGATTCAACTCAACAAGCGAAACTTCTCAGACAGCTTCCGAATGTGAAGATGTATGCAATTTCCTTGAACAAATTGACAAATACGTGAGTTAAGAGATATTAATTCCTCGTGAATGTATTTCCTTTTCAGAAAATACCTCACAGATAAAATAGGTGATCGCAAAAATCTGTTCATCAATGATGAAAGCCAATGGTTCGAAGAATTTTTCACCAAAAAGTTGCGATGTGTTCCAACGACTCGATAAACGTTATAATAGCATATCTGATAATAAGAAAAAATAATTATGATGGCCACTTTTTCATATATTGCAGAAGAACCAAGAAAAATTAGCTCAAACTTGACAGAGTGGGACCCTTCTCCTGGAAAGGTGATTTTCTGAACCAATGTTGAGTTTCCTACCTAACGGATATTTTTTCAAACCTTCATGAAGCTCGTTGGTATGCCGTTCATAGTTTTGAACAACGCGGAGAGATTGAAGAAATGGAACAACTTCAATATGAATTTCAGGAAAAAAAATTATTTTCCCTGAAACATTTCTTTAATATTGGGATCAAAAGAAAATACAACCTTTCCTCTCTGCAGATGCTCTCCAGAAAGATAACGTCAAATTTTCCAATTGATAAACAATTTCATTCTTGTTGTTCTCTGATCCCCATTTTTCAAATATTAACTCTGTCCAGCGTTTGAGAATTTTCCCTTTAGCATCAGCGAATATTTCTCGATTCCTTGCAGCGGATTCCAACCATTTTTTGTCTATTTTATCAATAGCGTCGATGGAAAGATTCCGGAGAGCCTGGAAATTGAAAAAAGTGAACTTTTAGAAAAAATAAAAATGGTTTTTTTCTCACCTTCATGATGTACTCAAAGTACTTGTGGGTCTCTTCCAGTGACAAGTTATTATCAGGGTCAAGAACGTAATGTGGACGGTGTTTGCACTTTTCTCATCTGTTACATTGTAGAGAATGTTGCCGTCGACGTAGCGGTTCCACTCAAAGATCGAAGTTGGTTTTTGGGTACAAAATACAATTGCTGTCGAAAACTTTTTGTACCTGTTGCTCTTTATCAAATTCAACTCTCAGTTTATTTATCATCTTGACCAATTCCTCCATTTTGATTCAGTGATCCGTCTATCAATAGCAAAGATCACAAGAAAAAAGGGAAACTAAAAAGAAACAAACGCCAGAGTGAGACAGCGAGCAATAAAGTTTTTCCTTTGTTACCCAATTTTATTTTTCTCCGATTCCACTCGATTACTTTTTGTAGTTTGTGAAAACGAAACATTTGTGGTGTCATTTTTATTCAGGAAAAAAAGCGTTCAAGCAGACAAAAATTATGAATTGGCAAATTTGAGAAGAAGTAAGCAGAAAAGCGAAGAAGAAAAAAGAAGCGGTGGTGGAAAAGCAAAGCGGCAAAAAGTGTTTTGTTGAAATGCTGAATGATTTGGAAACAAATGGTTTGAAAATTCCAAAACTAGCAAAATCTGGCGAAAATTACAACTATAATAAGCCAGTGGAAAAGTCTCAACATTCAGTACCATAAAGTTTAAAAAACACGTTGTGAATAGACAGAAAGAAAAAATATGAGCTATTTGATTTATGCTGAGTCATTTTGCTCATCGTCATCCACTACAGTCTTGATTGGGATCCTGAGTGGGGCACCAGTGGTCTCGGCAACATTGATAACGGCATTTTTGTCTGTCTTGGCCACCAACTCAACCAAATGAAGTTTTCCGGCTCCTGGGATTGGGAATGGCACTGAGTGCCAGTAGCCGATTGGAAGTTTGACCCCGCTGGCTGGGAACCTAAAAAGTTCATTTTAAATGCTTCATGGAGCTCAAAAGAAATTAAAACTTACTGGGATGCTTGAAGAGTCTCCACATCAGGTGATCCATTTGCCTTTGACTTTGCTACAATCATCAAGAAATCTTCGTTGGCTTCCAAGTAGAATGATCCGTCGATTCTCTTTTGGAGAAGCTGAAAAGTGGTGAATAGAAAGCGGCAACGTATAATACCGGTCAATAAGGGATACAAAAACATATTTTTCAGATGGTTTTCGGTCATTGTGACCAATTTCAAGAAAATGAAACTCGGCTGTCGAGTTTTCGATCACTTTGAAAATTTGAAAGTTTGTGAAGCAAACTTAGATTGAAAAAATTGCCTATACAGAATTTTCAAATTCCTAGTTTTCTAGTTAGACACCAATTTTTGTTCACCCTTTAAAATTTTCAAAGTCATCGAAAACTTGCCAGCCGAGCTTCAGACTCCTGAAAATAGTCAAAATGGACTGAACCCCCGCCCCATCTTGTTTATCTCATTGACTGGTATATCCTTAAACTTACATTCACTTTGATCATTTCATCGTCAATGATCAGAACTCCTGGATTTCCTTCACCTCCAGCCAATGATCCTCCGGTACCAGTGAAATGAACTTGTGTAGTGTTTCCGATCGCTTGCCATTGCATAGTGAAGGTGTTCTCAAGGACTCCAACCTCTGGAGAGTCAACGAAGTCAACCTGAAAACACTCGTTTCGCGATTGGCTATCCACATTTTCAAACACACCACTGGAACTTCAGTTTTCCTCTCTCCAACTGCCACAAACCCTTTGCGACTATGGGTGAGAACAGCTCCAGTGTCCTGGAGAGCCACGAATTCAATCTGAGAGTTTTTTTTAATTGGGATATAAAATTATATAGCTCAAACTCACTGGAATTCTGGAGAAGTCCGATGGAATGTGGAAGGTTTGTTCGGCTGGCATGATGATTGAAATTGAAACGAGAAGAAGAAGACTAATTTGCCAAACTGAAATGAAGAATAATTGGTTTGTCAAGAAGAAAGGGGGCAGAGACATCAAGAAGAAAGCGAAACAAAAAGTTGAACTTGATAAACTCGCAATGACCCTTCCGCGTCGACGAAACAGTCTTCGGAATTCTCTTCAAACTGTTAGGAACACAAAAAATCGTTGGCAACAAGAGACGACAGCGCAACACACACTCACTCATAAAACAACTGCGAAACTAACAAAAAGAAGACACTGGGGGGAAAACGTTTCGCAATTATGGTCAGAACTTAAGAGAGGCTAGAGAGGAAGATAGAGACGACCTTGAAAATGGACGGATTGTATTAATTGAGAGACAATGAGTGCTGTGGATAGTGCAGAGGGGAATTCCCTCCCGCATGACTGTGAAAACGACAGTCATGATACAGAGATGAATTTCTGTTGTTCTGTTAGACTCGAATTTTATTGCCCTATAATTTGATAAAAGAAAAAAGAACTCATCACGAGGTGAAATCTGTTTGTGTTCTGGAAAGAACTTGTTTGATACCTAGAACAAAGAATAAATTCATTCTTGAACAAAAAAATTGCAGCACATAAAAAACAGAACATGATACAATAATTCACAGATTACATTATTTTTAGGTTTGAAAACTAGAAAAATAGAAAAAAAATGAAACGTCTTGGTCTTGGGTTTACAGGGTTTACAATAACTGGCAACATGGAAAACATTCTTTTGATTTGAAAAGCATTTTCCTATTTCTTTTATTTTGATTTTGGTGCCAGGCAGAAAACATTATTGAAAACGTCTCGACGCCCACTTTCAATAAATATAATGGATTCTGGAGGCTAAAAAAGTTTTAGGGGGGGGGGGGGGCAAAAAGTTCATACCATCGAATCCTGCAGAAAAATATGAAAAATTAGCAAAATCTTTAAAAATCGATTTTGATGCAAAAAATATCAATTTCGTTCATTTCTGGAAATTTCCAAAAAGTTCTAGATTTGTTTGAATTCCAGCCAAAGCTGAAAAGTTTCAGAAATTGGGTGAGAACTGAGATTTTTTTTGATTTTGAAGGTTTTCTAAATTTTTGTAGTTTTATTCAATTTCTGGGTTAATCTACATAGTTTTCTACAAACTTTAATGCAAGAAAAATGGAAGTGAAACTAATTTAAGCGAACTTTGTGAAAAATTAAATTGTTAGGATTAAGTTCAGGGACTTCAGACAAGATACTGCAACAAAATTATGTTGCAAAAAAATGAAAAATAACTGAAAAACAACAGTTTTACAAAATAAAAGTGTCAAGAAGATTTCTATTTTAATATAATTGAGAAATTCACAAAATATCCTAAAATTCATATTTTCAACTGCATCCAGACTGGAAACAGTGTGAAATTTCAGATATTGTGAAATAGAGATTTTTATGTTTTGAGTAAAATTTCGAAAAGTTTTGGAAAATATCTCGGAAAAAAATATTGCAAGTGACAAATAGAATTAAAACTATTTTTTTTCCTTCTAATGATAGGGTTTTACTGAATTCTGAGAAGTATACGAGAAGATTCACGAATTTTAGTAATATTTTATGAGATTCTCTTTTTTTCATTAGATTTCATTAGACTTCATGAGATTCTAATTTTGGAATTTCTGTTTGAATTTTTTTTGCAAAAATAAAATGCTGCTGCCAAAATAAAGTGTTTGATGATTTAAAAGTTATCAAATGGGAGGTCATTTTCGAAACCTCCTATCTTCTCCCGCCATTCCACACTGAATTTTTATTGACTTTGAACAAATACTGATCAACTGATGATGATGATGATCGACTGTTAGTGGAAGGCGTAAATGAAACGGACACGTTCCTCTCAAAACTCCCACCTGACTCCTTCGCACAGTTCTGATAATACCGTCATGTGTGATTCAATTGTTTCTTGGAAAGTTAAAGGAATGTAAGTATCATTTTCGTTGAGGGCTTCCCTTGGAAAAAAAATTGGTAGTCACATGAAGGAACCATTACCCATTTTATTAAGGAGAGAAGAGACAAAAGATGAAAAAGTTTTCCTATCTCTCATGACTATTGAGTTTAGTTTAGTTTTGGTTGAAGCTACGAAATAAACAAAGTAGTAGTCATTGCATCACAGCTTGCAAATGTGCTCTATTGACCTTTTATCAGAACATTTTTGTCAGAAAGCTTATCAAGTTTGATGCAAAAAAACTTGAAGCCAAGGATTCGTGGAAAGGAATAATTGAGGATGTTTGAATTGTCTTTTCAGAATTTTTCGGAATTTCAAAAATTCCGGACACCTGGGATTCACGGAAAAGTTATCTGATAGAAAAATGTAGATGAAAATCCAGCCGATTTTCAAGTTTGTAGAGTATTTACCAAATTAAAAATGGGACATTCAATAACGGGACATCCTTCGAACTTTTGTTGTCATGCAACCTTGAGATTTTGCAAAATTGACGCTTATCATGAAAGAGAAAGGAATGCAACATCATCTTTAAAGTTTCACTAGCTGAATTCTGCAAAAAGAGGGTTGAAAAAAATCAAATTTCCCCTCGAAAAATTCCTACTATCATTTAGGATTGTCAGAAAAATGTTGGAATTTTGTTTTCAATTCTACATTAAAAAAACGTCCATATGAAAATTTATGAAAATTCCGAAAACAAAAAGTTTTATGAAAATTCCGAAAACAGGATCTATTTAATTAAGAATAAATAGCATACTTTCAACGCACACAGACATAAATATGTTTTCGAACAATACTAAAACACACAGAACTTATTTGGACGGTACTATGTGTGGGCTGCAAGAAAAGAAAATGACCTCCTGCTACCGATACGCACATACAGTCTCGCTTTGCAATCTATCAGCTATGCGGACAGTTTAAACCGCCCACACTGTTGACAAGAAACATTTTCGGGCCGCTTTAGACGAGACAGTTTTTTATTCATATGGCAAGCAAACCCGGGAACGCGTCATTCAACAGAAACAAGGTTCAACTTACCAGCTGATTTTGGTATGAATGGCATTGTTAGAAAAATTATTGAATCGCAAATTCGTCTTTAAGCAATACATTTCGCAATATAACTCGTCCAGGCGGTTTTGAGGACAACGTCAGCTGCTCCAAGCTCAGGGGTCAGTTGGTTATTTTTAATCCCAGGTACAACAAATAACAAATGTTTTGGGTTTGCAAGTTGCATCACATGGTAATTTTCAAGAGTGTGCAAAACGGGATGGGAATATCCAAAAATTCCAAAAATTTAAGGAATTTTTCGTTGCGTTTTTTTGTTGTTCTGTATCTATCGACCTTCTTTAAAAAAACAATTGTTAATAACAATAATCCCCAAAAGTGCAGCCAATTCCAGAACCTTGGAATTTCTGAACTTCCATTTTTGAAAATTCGAAACTTCCAGATATTCTGAAATTCCGAAAAATTTCGTCCCGACAACCACATATCAAACGATTCGAATCATTTTTTTTTTCAAATTTATCACACTTCATTATAAGAAAAAACTGAAGAAATAAGGCATGAAAAAAAAGTAAGTGGCGGTGGTGGGGTCTCGAGAGAGATCGGTAGCAGGATAACATGGATGAATGACAGCAAAAAAAAACAAAAAAATCGATAAATAATTGTGTACAAGAATCTACATAAGCGTTCAACAGAAATTTGAAATTTTCGCAATATAACCCGTAGATATGAAACGTTGATTATTCGAAATTAAAGCTATGAAGCTATGTTAGCTATATTAAGAGTGTGTTTTTGATCGGGATGGAAACGGGATGGGGGCTATAAACACGTGGATTGATTTGAAAGAGAAACCCGAATGGAAGCAACAATGAGGGAAAACAAGTTTCGATAATCAAGCAACATTTTCAGATCGTCTTCTGTCAAATGTGCTCACGAATGAACTAGTCGGTGTCGATCCTTTGAATGTTCCCATTGTCATTATCTTTGTTCCATCTGTTGAAGAAATGTGACTGTTACGAGAAGATCCACCACATCTGATACCTTGGTCACTCTCGTCGCTTCTGGAAAAATTAACTTTGTTGGAAATATTCAGAAACTGAATCTTGTCGTGGGTAATTTAAAAATAGTTCCGGTTGGTCAGATATAAAAAAATCTTCTATTTCATTTTCACACATTTTGAACAATTTCAGGAGTTTGGAGCTCGGATATCAAATTTGGATCATTTCGGAAATTTTGGAGAATGTAAAACAGACTAATTAGATTGAAACCTTTAAATTTATAGAATATTTTGAGGAATCCTAGCTTTTCAGCTTGCTGCCGAATTCTGAAAGACGCCTGCTTTTTTTGCGTTTTCAGCACAAAAACGGGCCAAAAAATAAGTCTTCCTTCCTTCAAAATCGACAAATAACTGAAAAACTAAGAACTTCAAAAAAATTCTGGGAATGCAAGTTTACAATCTAGGTATGCTTCAGAACTTAAAAAGTTTTCGATGTGATTGGAAATTTAACAGCCGAGCTCCTAACTCTTGGTGTTGCTCAAAATTGTTGAAAATCAACTGAAAAATAAATATGGAAAATGTTACTTACGCTGGAGCAGTATTTGGAGAATCACAGTGTCCTCTATGTCCTCCGTGTCCACTGCTATTGGTTTCAGCAATCGACGAGGTGGTGCCAGCTGGAGAGTAGAGGAGAGAATCTGCGTAGTTGTATGCCTTGACACGTTGCATTGAACCGTTCATCTGGAATTTCAAACATTTTTTTGCTATTTCGCTCTCAAAGCTTTTGAAATACCAGTATACCTTAAAAAGAAGGGTTCCCAAACTATATCTATGTTAAATTATCTCAACTAATATGCAAGACATCAAAAATTGATAAATTGACCAAATTCTCATCTTATCATCAAATATATTTTTTCAGTAGACAACTTTTTGTTATCTTTGACAGGAACCGATCAAGATTGGTTTAAACCAAACAGTTAATATATACTTCTGTTACAGGTTTTACGGTATTCTCTTTTTCAACAGATCAATTTCGAACCCACCTGTGGAGATGAGCCATTAGTTGTCGAGTGTGGAGCGCTTCTGGAATATGAAACCAACATTTCATGAGAAGTCCGGCTTTCTGGAGAATAGCATCTTGCAGTGGAGTGGACACCATAGTCTCCATTAATCTTTGCAGCTGACACATAGGTCGGATCATTTGGAATCTCTGCATGCTCTTCCATATCCATAATATCATCCATGTTCCCGTATAAATTTGGCAAGTTCTCATCATGATTGTGAAATCCGTACTTATCAGAATCGCCAGAGTGTCTCTCGTCTACTTGTCTCTGCAATAAATTAATTAGTTTTTTCCTTCTTGTTTATGCCTCTTCCTACACCAATGGGTGTTGAAGAACCAAAGACACCTGACGGAATGCTATAGTAGTGGCAAAATGACAAATGTGTAGAAAAGGTGACTCACCACTTTCAACGGTGAGCATTCATCAACGTCGGCCTCCAGAATTTCGGCGTTGTCGTCAAACATGCGAGATTTATGCACTTTTTGCTCGTTGAAAATCCGATATGAAGCATCTAGGAATTTTCCGTTAGCTGGAATAGCAGAACTTGACTACGCGGAATTGGTGCTGGTTAGAAAATGTGAGAGAAAAAATATTAAAAATGTTATGTTAGGGATTTCGAAATTTTTGCACCATCTCCATAAACTGAAAACACTTACCTTGACTTTTTTGTTTTCCTTTTCCGGATCGTAAGTTGCAAAACACAAAAAAGCAAACTAGAACAATAATTAACGCCAAGAATGTGACAATTCCTCCAAGCGCAATATTCTTGAATGTCAAGTGGGGTTCAATGGTCCCGAGGAATATCCGAACCGATGCCAGCATTCCGTTATCTGAAATATTATTTAATGAATAGTTGAAACAATGAAGTCGGAGAAAAAGTTATTTTACAATTAATCGCTCTAAGGACACCTCAGGTGTGATGGAAAAAAGAGTGAGTAGCCTAGGACTAGTGGACCAACTCTTTGGTACACTTTAGAATCATCAATCACTGTGATAAATGCGCCAAACTGAAGTGAAGAAATGAACGTCTCGACCTTGGCTTACGGATCACTGGACTAAAATAAGAACAATGACATAATCATTTTTCGGGAAGTAGGAGGATGAGAAGATGAAAAAATGAAGAGTGTCGTCCTACATATTGCAGGTGTCAAATTTATCCGGTTTGCAACTGACTGTTTTGATCATTGTTCTACAGGTCAGAATTCTTTGATTTGGCCTTTAAGAGGAGCCAAAAACGATTCGCGTGGAACAATAGGGAAAATGGATCAATGATAGAGTGAGAAAAGAGAGAAAACGACGAGCGTAATGATTGCTCAAGTGTAACATTAGTAATGGGTTCTCACAAGCTTCAAGCGCACCCGTAATATGTAAAATGATAGGACTATGACCGGAAGAAGGTGAAAAGAATCAAAGGAAAAAGCGCATGATTTTTATGATATGGGAGGTGAAATATATAAACAATTTTATATATGAATTTTGTGGAAAATTTTGAAACTCTAATTGAGTTTCATTCTCTTAAAAGGACTCTTAACATCTTTTGAATCCATATTTTGCCTATATTATCAGAAAAAGTTAAGAATAGCCTATCTAAACACCTCTAAAATTTTTAGAATCCGCTCGTCAGCTTCAGCCGAGTTATATCAGTTTCAGCTGCCTTTTCAGTGCAAAAACGATTTTCAAAGACGATGTTCTCAACTTCCGGAACATTTCGGAACACGAATTTTGTTGTTTTACTTAAAATTAAATGACATTTTATATTTCAAACATAAAAAATTATTTACTTTTCAAATAACTCTGAAAATCGTCTAACATAAGAATTCCAAAATTGAGAAAAAAGAAAATGCCTGAAATATGGAATTCTATTTAATTTGATTGGCGAGCAGATACTAAAATTTTAGAGGTGTCTAGATAAACGATTCTCAACATTTCCTGAAATTCTCTTCAAAATCTGGCTTTACAAGGAGTTTTGGTTCCCTTTTTAGTTACTTACAAAAACTCAAGAAGAAAAAATCTTCAAAATTTCAAATTCGACCCAATAATCTTGGGTTACCCTAATTTCTCAAAATCTGTTGACAGAAGGAGTTTCGAGAAAGAAAAGGGAGTGCTGACTGATGGTTTAGTTTATACGCAACGCATCTGGTAAAGGTGGTGAAGAAAGGAGTGCGGGGTGCAACATCCGGAAAACGACGACCCGGTCCAGTAACATTTGCATAAACATTTTTTACTCAATGGTCCAGAGGAGAGGATAAATAAGTGTGCATATAAACTTTGGATGTCTCTCAATTTTTTTTGTGCAAGCTCTGTGCTCATTGAACTGACGGAGAATGAAATTTTGGGAATTCTATGAATTATGGATAACATCTTTTTTGGGATTAAATGCTGTAATATTAGCTAACCAACTTTCGTATTGTTTCGGTTCTTTGAAGAGTTACCAAAAAAAATTTCAATTGATAATTTATTTTCCCTAATATCACCAATAATTTATCAGTTGACAATTGTTTGATATCTCTCGTAGAACACGGGGTAATCAAGCTCATAGTACATGCATAAGAGCATTTACGGTAGTTTCTCAATACTGAAACAAGAAACAAGTGAAACCTAATTGGAAAACCACGAAGTCAAGAATTTTCAAAAATACAAGTTTTCAAAACTTTTTGAGTATAGGCAAATGATTCAAAAATGTGATGAGTAATACGCATTACACTCGCAAAGGGGACCTTTCGTCTTTTCCTGTCTCCTGTCTTGCCGGCCAGGCAAAGAGGACAAACGGAATGGAAAAAAGTTGAGAAATGATGAGGAAAAGTGAGGAAACGAAGACTCGTAAACAGTATAGAAAATAATGTTCCTAGTGTGTTAGTCATCATTTTTGATGGGAAGAACCATTGATGTTCTTTTTGCTTTGAAACATTTTGAGAGACCTTGCACGAAGTTGGGAGAATTGTCGGGAAATGAAAAACAATGTTTTTTTTTCGAAAAAAAAGAAAATAAGAGATCAAAAATGAAATCTGAGAACTTTGCAGGATGATGAGAAGTGCAAGTGTGAGAATTTCAATTGTTTTTGGAGAAATAAATTCTGGTAGTCAAACGAAAAAATGATATGTAGGAGTCTAAAAATAATATTTGTTTGGGGCTCCTGTATTTGATGTGTTATACGATATCTAAACATTACTACTCTCGTAAAATGCTTGCGGAGCATCATACTGGCATACCGTATGAAACAAGAAATGAAAAGTTGGCGGCGAGTAGAGAAAGTAGCTTCTAGAAACTTATTTTCCTAAAAACTCCGATGTACATACCTTGTGATATTTTCTGGCTTGATTATTTACAGAAAGAAAAACGAAAGGAAAGAAAAAATGTTAAGATTAGTTGGGAAGCTGTTCCTCAAATATAACAAAAAATACGAACGAAAAATCGTGAGGAACGGTGCTCTGATAAAATGAAAATGACGTAAACGCTATTTTTGTAAGATTTCAACAAAATATTTGGCTCCGAACTCTACTTCAGGTTTTCTAGCTCTTCCAAAACAATGATGGCTTTTACAACGTTTGACTCTTCGTTTGAACCCGCGACACCCTCACGGACCCGTTCACATCCGTTTATATCTTCGTTTCCTCCCAACCCCACACATCTGGTAGCAATCAGAAATTTTCCGGCTGGGAAATAAATGCTCTCAACGAGGACGAAGAAACAAATGAACACAAAAATAAGTGCAAATGTTTCGGGAGCAACAAGTTCAAGGAAAGATGACTTACGAGTTGTATTGAACAGATACTCGGCACTATGAACACTTTTTCCAGCAGCGTTCTCAGCAATGGCTCTTATCGAATATTCCGTATCAAAATTCAGTCCAGTGATGATAGCGTCGTTTTGGTCACCGTCCACTTGGATCTAAAAGATATTGTTGGATTAAAGATTCAAATATACAGCGCCGGTCAATAGGATTCACGGAAACATTCTATTTTTTAGTTGGTTTTCGGCTCTTTGACCATTTTCAGGATTCTGGTGCACTGCTGTCAAGTTTCCAATCACTTTGAAAATTTTGAAAAGTGTAAAACAGACCTAGATTTGAAACGTTATGTTGACAGAATTTTTCAAAATTTCCTAGCTTTTCAGATGTTTGCCGATTTTTGAAAGACATCTTTCCGGAACACGTTGATGAACAGAAAACGAGGAAAATGTATCTTTCACAAATCGGCGAAAAGCTGGAAAATTAGGAAATTTCCAGAAATTCTGTAAAGTTACTTAATCTAGGTCTTTTACACCTTTAAAAGTTTTCAAAATGATCAGAAACTTGACAGCTGAGGTCCTGACCCAGGAAAATCATCAAAATGTCCGAAAATAAACTGAAATTATTCATGACCGGTACTAAATGTATTTCAATAGCTGAAATAGGCTTAAGAACAGAAATTCGTTAAGACCTTCTCCTAGAAACTTATCGCTTTATGGTTCAAAGCATTCGAGAAATTTGAGAAGAATGAGTGCTCTAGAGGACGGAGAAAAAACGCTCAAAAAGAGAAAAATGAGCCCGCTTGGCGGCTGCAAAACGGTGGTAAAAATAAAAACAGAAACGACTGACCACTTGTGATTTATTCTGGGCCGATGACACCTCGTTGTAAACGATCACAAATGTTTTGGCGGCCGCGTTTTCGATGGGAACGTTATGTGAGAAGAGCACTTTTGCAGACGACGTCGAGTGTTGGTACACTGTTATTATCTGAAGAGAGAGAAAAGGGATGCAATTTATGGATTGTTCGAAATCTAGGCTAGTACCTTTGGTGCCAGTGGTAGAACATCACCACTGGTAGCTTCCACTGTCATCCAATCAGTGGGTAAACTCAAAACATGGCTTCCGTCATCTCGAACCATTTTTATGCGGAACTTGTACTTATTGTCAGATATCAAAGACTTAATTGTGGTGGCACGAACATGAGAATCAACACTATCTGCTTCAATCCAAGATTCTTCTGATGCTCCGAACGTTTGCACTTCGATTCTGAAACATAGTTGTTGCATTAAAAACGGGTTAAATTGAAAAGAACTCACATAAACTTTGCAATTTTGGTCAGCGCTTCCATTTTTCCCAACACAGACCACTGAATTCTCACTTCCGTTCCAGTCACGAAGCCTCTTACATCCTCCACATCAATTCTCATATCCTTCTTCTTATCAGCAAACGGTTCTGTCGAGGTAACCACTGGCGCTGGTGTAGTAGAATTGTCTATCACTGTCAGATATGCTGATGAATAGCTTGTGATACCGCTCTCACTTTGAGCAACACATGTATACATTCCTTCGTCGTCCAATTCCACCTTCTTAATTCTCAAAGAGTTGGAACCGAGGATGGTACGTCTGGCAGTGAACAGTGATAAGGTTCGATTGTCTGAAAATTTATTCTACATATTTCTGCGACCAAATATCTGAATAACTGACTTTTCATCCATGATCTTGCTTTGACTCTCTGCACAATACATGGAAAATCTGCGACATTTCCTATCAACACAGTGATATTATTCGGTCCTTTGATGATCAAATCGTTTGAATTCAACGTGTTCATCACATACATATTCATGGATTTGCCAGTTTCTAGTCCATAACCGTATATTTCAGCTTCAACCATTGCCGGTCGAGATACACACTGGAAATTGAATCATATTAAAATTTAGGTTTCCAGAAAAGCCTACCTGTATACTTCCAGTGAATGATCGTTTTACTTCCATGTGTACTCGTATAGGATTGTTATAAAAATTGGTATTACTGGGTATACCCAATTCATTGATGTTGTGTATTATAGATGTTCCGTTGATATACGCAGTTGGAATTTCGTAACGCATGTTTGTTGCAAGGCATTCAAGCTGAAAATAATGAAGTAAATATGATATTCAGTTTGATTTTAACAGCTTACCAAGTATCGCTTATCATACAGCGAACTGATGGATAACCGAACTCCGGATGGGGAAACAACATTCAGGCTATAATCTATTCTAGGTCGTGTTGAGTTATTGTCTATAATACCATCTCCTCCAACAATCGGCAATCCGAGACAAGTGTATATTCCAGCATCTCCGGCAGCTATACTCCGTATTTTGAGATTTCCCCAAATTTGTTGGAACCGTGACATGTTGTCCTCCATAGTGACATTAGGAGTGGTGTCATTGTGTTTGATCCATACGACTTTTGCCATATTCATAACACACTCCAGTAGAATATCCTCTCCTTCTGCCACTGTTAGTTTGATTGGCTTATCTATCGTGGTTTCACGGGTGGGATACACCAGCCTTGGTTTCAGAGCTTCCGCTTTTGCTTTTTCAGTACGATTTGCCTCGCTTACAATCAGCAATAATGGCTTTGGACTCATTTTGGTTTGATTCAAGTACTCATTTGTCACAAAGCAGTGGTAGAAACCGGCATCTGAAGGTGTTACCAAAGAGATTTGCATTCCAGTCTCGGTGACAAAATACTTTGTATCGTCTGAAACAGTTAGTTTTATATTAAAAATTCCATATTTCGAGTTTTACTTCTTCCTCCCAAACATTCATCTTCATTTTCCAAGCGTCTGAAGCATAGTTGGGCTGGTGCTGGAATCACATCAGGCATCCCAGCACATGGTAGTCGTATAATGTCATTTTCTCGGACTGTTATAGCAGTCTGGAATTATTTTACTATTTTCCATTGCTATCATGTACAGTACCCATCAAACCGATATGCAAAAATGAGGTTCTCAGTTAATTTTTGGATATTAAGACTATTTTCAGGAGTCTGGAGCTCGGCTGTCAGGTGTGCTATTTTTTTGAAAACTTTGAAGAGTGTGAAACAGACAGAGATTGGAAACGTTCCATTCACAAAATTTCTTGAAAATTTCTAGGTTTTCAGATATTTTCCGATTTCTGAAGGTCACCTGGTTTTTTTCACGTCTTCCTTACAAAAACAGGTAAAAAATGGGTGTCAAATTTGGTAAATGCAATTTTTCAATCTAGGTCTGTTCTACACCCTCCAAACTTTTCAAAGTTATCGAAAACTGGACAGCCGATCTCTAGATTTCTGCATATGTCGAAATCATCTAAAAAACACGTTTTTGTACATCTTATTGCCCGGTATGATAGCTTGCTCTTGATGTTCTTAGTGCAGGCCATATGTTTTCTCAACGAGCAGCACCCCTCATACTAATTATGTCCCCCCTAAACATAATATACCCCCAATCCTTTTCCTCATTATGCATTGTTACCATATTATGGAAATAAACTTGAAATTCACATAAAGATGCTCATCCTTCATTGTGTCATCTGTGCGCTAATCCAGTGCGGACTAAGTAATGTTCGAGCATGTCAATTGAGTTGAGAACGAACATGGATACTAAAACCTAAGACTAGAAACAGATGGTCGTCTCAAGATAAGCATCTCCCTCTATGTTGTCGGTACTCCATGTCTCAATCAACAAGTCTTGCTTCTTCGAACAACACGATATCAAATTTCGGACATATGTTTCGTTTCGTTGTTGCAAAAAGTGACATCGAGTGTATTTATGCTTACCCCTGAATTGTATCTCGAAACAAAAGCTTCTGGCCAACAATTGTTGACCTCATCTTGCTTTTCTTTTCAAAAAAAAACTTGAAACAAAAAAGACAAAATGTCACATTGACATGCATCTTGTCAAATCATCAAATGTCACGCCACACAATGCGACACTCTTCGGAGCAAAAAAAGAAACAATGCATAGCAAGGGCAATCAAATTTTGATTTGTCCTACTGTGTGACGACCTTATCAAAAATGTCACGGGGAAAAGTCTTACATTGTTCACATTCTCATCAAACTTGGTAAATCTGGCTCGACGAATCCTCAATGGAGATGATATTATGGTCGTCGTGATCAATTGTCGATTGGATAACCGAATTTTTGTCATTTCAGCAATACACTGATATTCTCCCTCATTTTGAGGAGTTGATCCAACAATAATTAATCTGAAATTTGATTTAAATATACAGCATCGGTCAGTATGATATACAAAAAAGGATTTTTCAAAGGATTTTTGGTAATTTTGAGCATTTTCAGAAGCCCGGAGCTCGGATTCCCAGTTTTTCAGCTATTTGCCGATTTCTTGAAGTCACCTTTTTGTCCAATTTTCATACTAAAAATGTGAAAAATACAAGTGAATAGCTGAAAAACAAGAAATGGGGTTTTCAGAAAAGGTTGTAAGTGCAAACTTTCTCATCTTATTCTGTTTTACATTCTCCAAAGTTTTCAAAGCGATCGGAACCTGAACATTCGAGCTCCAGACTACTGAAAATAGTCAAAATTGCCGAAAATCCACAAAAAAAGATTTTTGAATATTTTTTTTCAAAATAAATCTAAACTCACATGAATCCTTGCCAAACGTAATCAGTATCATTTAATGATATTACTTCGTTGTCTTTGAGCCATATCACAGATTTCATGCGAGCTTCTGAGTAGCCGGAGCTGAGTTCGCATGTTAAATTAGTAGTATTTCGTTTGTGAAGATATAATTGATCAGTTTTTACATATAGGGATGGCAAATCAAAGAGTTCTGAAATAGTTTGAGTTCATAAGAATTTTCAAACTGAAAACTTACGAGATTCTAATTCGGTGATTCCTGTCCTCACTAAAAAGCATATGAAAAATAACAAAATCATTGTGTCGAATCTAGATTTTCTTGGAATCATCGTTTATTCATGACCTCCTGAAAGCAATTATCATAAACGGTAGGGACACATGGAAGCACAAGGAAAAGAGACATAAGGTAGAAAGAGGTAGGATATAGCAAAAATAAGAGCAGATGTTGTCATAAAGGTGTATGATTTTCGTGGAGCGATTACGTAATTGTATTGACAGTTCTCGTCTCAGGACAGTATCATTATTATTAATGTTTTATGGGTGGAAAGGGGGAAAGTGCCTTATTTTCTCAAGGTTACTGGAGTATAGACATTTGAGATTAAAAGGTAATGGATTGCTAAATTATAAGATTTAGAAGCATCAAGAAGAATGAAACAAAAATATATAAATAAGAACTAAAAATGCCAATGAGAAGACTGATATTTAGCAAAAGAGAGGAAAAAAAAGATAATAGGAAGAGTCAGATTAGCAGGAAAGCGACAATCTTGATATCCACTTCTCGTTTTCTATTTTCTATTCCCATCTATAATCATTCTTTTATTCATCTTTATTTCTCATCAACACGCCACCTGGTCTTCGTCAAAATTTAACGCTAATCATTATGGACTTTTAGGCGGAGAAAAGTGATAAAAAGTGAGCGAAGCTTTAGCCGCTGATTTTTGAAATTCTTCTTGATTTAGTCAACAAGAAAATCTTGGAAAGTCAAAAAATATACCAAAAAGCGCTGACAGGCGGATCAGATGATCTTAGAGGGGGGAAGAGGTTGGTCAAATAATGAGTCAGTATGTGAAGAGGAGGAGCTGAGGACCATAAAAGGGTCGGAAGAGTATTCGCCGGCAATATGTGCACACAAACGGCACTAATCTTGTATGCTATCATACCATAACGGTGAGTTGGCAGTCTTTTGAGTGCAAAAAACGGAAAATGAATATAAATCTTCATTCGGATGACTGTGTAGTATATGTCAGACCACTAATCAATTGAAAGGAAGAGAATTAGAAAGTGAAACACATGAAATACAATCAGTGTCCATAGTTTGAGAAATCATCAATAGACACTGAGAAAATCTACTTGTGACAAGACGAAATAAAAAAAAGTGAGAAGATAATCAAATTGACGGCAAAAGAAACTTGCAAGTCCTTTATTTCCCTCTCTTCGCCCTCCTTCCATGCCAAAATAAGGGATGAGGATAGAAAAAAAGAAGTGTTGTTTTCTGTTCAAAGAGACATTTTCTTAGTGTCATCAGAATAAGACAACAAGTGACACATCCATGGCGGTCAAAGTCATTCGAAATGGAAATAACACAGGGTTAACTTAACTTTTCGACTTTTTTTTCCGTTTTTTTTCTTGACCAAAAACGGCGACAAAAAAGTATCTAATTTCGGTTTGTAATTGCCAAAAAATACATGATGGTGGAATTACTTCTTCTTTAAGAAAAAAAATGCAGAATTTTTGATACTTTCTTTTTCAAAAAAAGTTTTAAAAAACACGATTTTCTTGAACACTAACACTAATAGATGTATGAAATTGAAAACCATGGCTAAACAAGCAAACTTACAACAAATACGGCGCAAAAAATGATGGATTCGAGGGGTGTGAAGGTGAGAAAAAAGTGGCGGAATCGGTAGAAAATGGGGAGTGTTCCCCACAAACACACACTTTTCAATCAAGGCTAAGGTAGCAGAGGATGAATTAATTGGGCGAGGTCGCCTTGGGAAACAATAGGATGGGTTGGTTGGAAGATTTATTAGGAGCGAGGTGATAAGAAAAAATACCCAATCAGTAAGATAAGTTGTTGGTTTGGAAAGACCAAGGAAATTAGGGATTTTGTGAAAACCGAAATTGACGAATGAAGTGATGAAATACTTGACTCCTAAGTGTAAATCGAGAGGCCCCACATGAAATTGACCGAGTGCCGACATGCAAATGAGTATTAGAAGAATAGAAGATCGGATCTCTAATGTTGTGCAAATTTTCAAAGAACGGAATGGAGCAGTGTCGTCTAGTAGACAACGGCCCGTTCCCTGCATCGTCTTCTTCTCCAGGAGCGCCCCCGCACTGGTTATGCAAATATAATGACATGGAGAGTAAAGAGTGCAGTGCAAAAGAGCACAACACATTTAGACGAATGTATTATTTTTCTATCTCCCTCTGTATGTTTATAAATGTTCGGGAAGGGTGTCGATTTGCAGTTCCAGTTGCTCAATGGAGACAGAAAAAACATGAATGTAAAACTCCCGAGAAAGACATCCGGTTGGTTTTATAATTTGTATATTATAAACACCGACGATATTATGACATGATCGGCCAAGGGAATAGGGTCAGCTATTCTCTCACTCACATTTAACGGGATCTGTTTTTATACAACAAGCGGATTAGTTATATATGTTCTGGGAACCAAGCCTTTCGTGTCTGTAGCTGGTTACGCGCCTAAAAAGTGTACAACTTTTACCGATTCGGGAGTAAAAGTTGAACGAGTAGTAGCAACAGAAAATGAGAAAATGGTTGGAAAAGTTTGCTTTAGGCGAGGTAACACCAAACAACGAATTAGGGATACAGAGGGCAAAATTTTTGGAAATAAAATAGGTTGGAAATTGGCAATTGAAAAAATATCTACTGTGTTTTCTCTATAGAAGCCAACCCAATGCGTCAATTTTGAGCTCAGTTATTTCAATTACTGTGAAAGATATAGAAAACTTTTAACTGATAAAACATTGGTGGTATTATAATATATGATTCAACAGTTAGCAAGTTTTTGATATCTCTCACAAGAATCGAGATAATTGAGCTCGAATAAAATTTTTGGCTGGGAGGAAGTACGGTTCTTCTTACAATGAAAAATGCTCCGTCTGTCTGGGACTTACTTAAACATTTCAAGGGGACATTAGGATTTCTATTGTGGTGTGCGGTATGTAATCATGAACTACAGAGCTGTTAAAATATTTGTTATTCTTGGCTTTCTGAAAGATAGAAAATCTATAGCATCGAAAATAAAAATTTAAAAAAAAGTATACTCAAATTTAATGAAACTGCACAAGCCATATTCCGGGGAAACTCGTTAGCTGCGAAAAATTTGTTTAATCTAAATTCGGACGTTTTTACAAGGTTTCTCAGTTTTTAAAAAATTTTGATTTCACAAAATACTTGAAAACGTTTTTTCTCTGCTAGCCAAACCGCTATAAAAAAAGAAATTTTAAATGAAAATTGGGTATATATGACGAAAAATGGAAAATTAAAAAAATGAGATTTTGAAATAATTCTTACTATTAGCTAATAAAAAAAGTAGTAAAGTCACAATTCCAACTAACAAGCAGCCTACCAAAATAGTGTTAATCACTCAATTTATTATCTAACTCTGCAAGCAAGACTCTTAATTCTAGTCCTGATAACCCTAACCAATATATTACGACCTGATAAAAATAAGATAAGAAAACGAACGAGCTGTGGGGTAAAACTAGTATTATAAGGATTCTTTTTCCTGTCTAGAAGGCTATTTTTGCTTCTTTCTCCATTTTGTATAATTAAGAAGACTCTGAAAAACCATGCAAATAAAATGAGAAATCTACAATATGAAAAGCAAAAATGCTGGTTCAAATTTCTGTGATCGCTCAGAAAATTCTGCAGTCATAAAATTCAAAAAGAGGATAGTTTCCTTTGGCGTCCCAGAAATTTTACTACATTTGGTCACGAAATCGCTTTGGTGAGAGAAAGAAAAAAGACGAGAAAAGATCTAAACATGGGGAGGGCATGGATCGTAAAACTGTTCGCTTTCGGTGAAGAACTCTTTTCTCGCACACAATGATGACGTAACTCCGGAGAGGTTGGCTGTTTGATGGTAGCCGTTGGTGTGAGTGGCGGTGTGGTGCATAGAAATGCGATACACATCAAGGAGTCCTATCGGTTTTTGCCCATCTTTGTTTTTGAGGCAGTTCCAATATCTGATCATGATGTGGTATGGGGTGAGGTGAGATACGAGGAATGGCAACTTCAGGAAAAAAATTGGAAATTCTGATTTAGAAATGAAGTCTTCTTCAGCAGAAAACTGACTGATTAGGTTAACAACTTCGATAAAGATTTCCATATAATTTTCACCTCGAAATATGTGTTTCGTACAATTATTTTTATCATCTAAATACGTGTGTAGAAGATAGTAACAAACAAAATAGTTAGGAAAAAACGGAAAAGAATACAGATTAAATGACAAGAACCCACACGGCGGGCCAGTCGGCTGTCAAGTTATATTGAATAAAGGCGGTGATAAAAAGTGATTAATGACTGTTTGAATATCACTGGATTCTTTTGTTTTCTGTGACCAATTCCAGTAGACAAGTAGTAGTAGAGTTACCAAAAAATTTAGTAAAAAAGAAACAAAAACGGGGGAGGGGGGACAATAACACTTTGTGCGGGATTTATGACAAATTTTTGGGTTAGTCTCCGGGGGAGCTAGAGAGTAAGCGGTCATTTATCATTGAACCTACTAAACGGGTCGTAGAGAGCCACCCAGATATCTAAAATAATGAATTGCAAAAGGGTCCCAACAAGGATACGAGGGAAAATCGCACGGAGTTTTCTATAAGCAATAATTCGGGAAAAATGTACATCACCGGTCAATAAGATATAAAAAAATGTTTTTTTTTTCAGTTGATTTCCTATTATTTTCACTATTTTCAGAAGTCTGTAGCACAGCTGTCAAGTTTCCCATCACTTTGAAAACGTTGGAGGGTGTCAAACATACATATATTAAAAAATTTGTATTCACAGAATTTTTGAAATTTGCTAGTTTTTTAAATGTTTTCTGATTTCAAAGAGACACCCTTTTCCGGCACGTTTTGTATTGAAACCGTGTGAAATAGGTGCTTTTTAGGAATGGTCATATATCTAAAACACTAGGAATTTTCAAAAATTTATGTGAATGTAAAGTTTTCATTCTAGGTCTGTTTTACATTTTACAAATATCTCAAATGGATCGGAAACTGCACAGCCGAGCTCCACAGTCCTGAAAATGGTCAAAATAACAAAAAATCAACAAAAAATACGTTTTTTTTTTGAATATTTTAATGACCTGTACTGTATATCTTGAAAATACCAAAAACTACCCCTAGGCATCATTTTTTTTAATTCTGAATTCCAACGAAATCATTTTTATTCTCTCCCTTTCTAACCAAATAAAACCCAGAATAAGATGTCGGTTAGATGAATAAGACATAAAACCGCCGATGGAAATGAGCCGAATCCAAATGAAACCCATCGAATTGAATAAAAATGTTGTTTTCTCCAAACGACCATACCGAAATGTACAGATTCGGAGACAAATAAAATGCGCACACTTATTGCGCACTACCTCTTCATCACGTCCGTCAGTCAGCATCAACCCGAACGGCTTTGGGAGTAAGTAATGTAAATGACCAAGTGTGTACTCTCTATTAGTAACTTTCTCCAATGCCAAAACTTCTTGTGATGATGATAGCGTTGTCATTTTTCCCGAAAAGTACTTACGTTCAGATAGAAAAGTAGGTGAACATTGATATTAAACGTCGAGAATGAGGGATATGGAAGGGGAATAAGACAAACATGTCATTAAACCAAAACCGAAAGGCCATTTACCACCATACGAACACGGATCACATAATGACCGGGTATAGAGGCGGGGTGAACAAAAAAACGGGTGATATTTGAGATAGAATATCTTATTGAAAGAAGAAGATTGAAAAAAAAGCTCTAATGAGAAAAGGAATACTGGAACAGCCCATAAAAGCTCTCATTCCCTCAAATACAAATTCAAATCTTCTGATTTTCGAAAATGTGAATTGAACTCGAGGAGTCGCTATCAAGAAGGTCCTAAACCCAAATTAGATTGCAACTTAGAAGGAACGAAAACCAGGAAAGCATAAAAATTTCAAGTGGCGGCCAACTGAACCACGGTGCATCATACTAGATGGTTGAATTGAAAGCGCATTAAAAAGGGCGGAAAGAAATCTGGAGAGACAGAACGGAGGGGAATGAATATCGCGCGGGAGACGGTTAATTGTTGTCGTGGGTCAAGTGGAGAGTAGGCTCCTGTGTTAATGCCGTCGAGAGTAGATGAAAGCATACACGCTTCTTTACCGCCTGTTGGTCATATCCATGAGAATAGCTCTTATTCAGTGGCAATTGACAAAAAATAAAGAGAAGAGGTGTTGAACAAGTAGGGTTTTAGAATGAAAGAGGGATTCATGCTAGGACTTGGAAGTAGTTTAATATAACATTTTCCAAAGATTCTGAATGTGAGTGAAATACGTTTTTTTTTTTGACAATTAGGTTCTGGCCATTTTAAAAACATTTGTTAAAGTTTGGTTCTAGGCACTTAAAAATTTTTTGAAAATACCTCAGCCTAGACTACCATAACTTACATTAGGACTACAAACACACTAACGGTCAACAAAAAACACAAAAAAACGTATTTTTGAGTTGATTGTAACTATTTTCAGAAGTCTGGAGCTCGACTGCCAAGTTTCTGAACACTTTGAATTTTTTGGAGAGTGTGAAACAAACCTAGATTTAAAACTTTGCATCCACAGAATTTTTCGAAAATTCCCAGTTTTTTAGCTAGTTGCCGATTTCCGAAGCTCGCCCGTTATTGGCCTGTTTTTGTACACAACGCAATAAAAAGAATGTTTTTTTTCAGAAATTGGCAAGTAGCTGGAAAACTAGGAATTTTCAATAAATTCTATGAATGCAAAATTTCCAATCTAGATCTGTTTCTCACTTTCCAAAGGTATGGGAAACTTGACAGCCGAGCTCCAAATTGGTCAAAATGGTGATCAACTGAAAAAAAAATTTTCTCATCAACTGGTACTAAACTGTTGTTCAGACTAACCTAAATTTTTACAATGTAAACAAAAACTGACACTTCAATACAAATTACATTAAAGAAATAACATTGATTCTTCATCATAAAATTGCATCGGCTCTTGATCTACACTCTAAATGTATATGATCTCACCCCCCCCCCACCATCTGCGTGAGCACTTGTGCTCATTAGCATGAACAAATATCTGAGTGGAACTGCCGCCCGAAACGAACACAGTCCGGCCCATTTACCAATAGAAATAGGTTTAGACGAAATGAACTGGATGGATGGTTCGATGCCCATTTTTCGAAGGGATTATCCTTCTTTGTCTTTCCTTTTCAACCGTCTGCTCAATTGTACTTCTTGAGGAAAAAGAAGGCCGCCAAAGACAAAAGGGAACAATTTGAAAGAAAAACTACAGTAAATTCTTCATGGTTTGTCCTCCTCATTGATAAGAAAAAACACTTTTTCTGATTCATCCGACATGCATTATTGTGTTGAAAGAAATAAAAGAAAGGATTGACAGTATAAATGAAATGTCGGCACATACAGTTCCCATGTCTTTTTCCCTTTGTTGCTTTTTGTTTCGTTGGCTATTTGAAAAAAGTTCCGGCCACCCACAAACCACTCACCTCGTCTGAATCGCAGCAGGAGTCGAAAGAGAGGGGGTGGAAGAAAAGAGAAAAGGGAAATGAGGAAAAAGTTTGGAAGCGGCAGAATTTGCAAAAGGCTTTGTTATATGAGTAATGAGTGACCAGATATGTAAATGTTTGCGGGGTGGCTTTACGGTTTTTTTGGCATTTCAAGAAACACTACAGTAAAAGAGGAAAACCGGGGTTAGTTTTAATTTTTTGAAAATATCACGGTAAGTCGAACAAACTATGACCAGTTTTTGAACAAACTATGGCAAATGATTCAGAGGGTACAATAGCTGTGGGGTCATCCGGTACAACGGAATTTACAGGTACAAAATCCGCAAGTTCGAGGTCCGAAATTACCGAAAAAAAAAATTCAAATGTTGTTCTCTAGAATTGTAAACTTGTACCCCCAATAACCTCACAAGCGTTCTACTCCCTAAATAACTGTTCAAAAAACTAGAAAACCACGGTCATTTGTGAAAAACTACGTTAAAAAATCACAAAATTGTGCAAAAATTTTTTCATAAAACTCAACGGCTCTAGTTGGATATTTTAGATTCAAAAAATCAAATTTTAAACAAGTTTCTGGATTTTGAAGAACATGAAAAACATCAAAATTTAAACATTTCTGAACTTTTCTAAATTCCAAACTTTTTTCAAAATCCAAAATTTCCTTAAAATTCAATTTTTTCAAATAAAAATTTTTGAAATTTAAAATAACCAATCCTTTGAAAATTGAATTTTGTACCCTCGAACTGTGGATTTTGACCCTAGAATTGTTATATCCCCCAAATTATGTTCCAGAAATTTTAAGAAAGTCATCCTCCGAAAAGTACGAGAAAAATTTTTCGGATGAGCTCAAAATAGTGTAAAAACTTTTCTTGAGGAAATCCTCCAACTCAACAAAATGAAACAGAATTTTACTCCAGCTAATCTAAAAAACCAAGAACCCAAGTCCACACCGCCGTGGGGCACTCTAAAAAAACTAATACCAACAGATTGGCCGAGAGGTTCCGAGAGTGGCCATTTGGTCAGCCGGCTCGGTTTTTGTTTTCATCCCCTTTCCGGTCGGGAAGATGAGAACCAAAAAGCCGTGGGAACCTCTTTTTTTAAGGTTGAGATGGAAAAAATGGAATTGAATAGAGATAAAAAGGATTTACTCTTATTGAGAAAACGGAATCCCAAATTTTTGGGAAAAATCGAAGAAGTCAACGTTTTCTTTCAAAACGGAGAGGGGGATGAAACTGGAGAAAATAGAAACCTAGCGGTAACTTTTCGAGGTAATTCATTTAGACATGTTCGCTCCATTTCGCCTAGCGTGATTGTCTGTCCTTCAACGGAGTCTTCTTTATGTCTCCCCGTTCTATTTATTTGAACCTAACTCGATAAATTTTCTTTGAGAAGTTTGCAGAGAATAGGTGCCTAAGTTTCTTCTAGGTTATAAAAACATGCGCACGGTTTGAAAATGGTGTTTTCAGGATATAAGGTCCGGCCTCAAAATGAAAAATATAGAAAAATGTGTTTTTTGGTTTAGATAAAAATGCCTCCAAATCAAGATTAAAAATTATTTCAGAAAAAAAAATTAATATACAAAAATCTCAGCGCATCGTTATAACCACTCTGCTATGTAAGAAATTCCAAAATCAGGAAGCTCCTTCCGCCGGATGTATGAGGTCTCAAAACCTTTTGAATCCACATGGAACAACATCATTACCGACAGGAAATGCTGCCAAGATGGCTCTTCTCTCTTAGTGAAATGGAATGTAAGTTGAGAATTGGAAGAGGAATGGGGTGGAGAAGAGAGGGAAAGATGTCTAAAAGGTGTCCGGAAACTGGACCTCCTTCGTATTTCAAACAAGAGAGAAAACAAAAGGTGCAATTGAGGGTCAGGACTGGAAAGTGAAATTTTTGGAGAGAACAAATTTTTTAGAGAACAATTTACAGATTAAAATGACAAAACTTAAAAAGATAATTGATAGATTTAAACAATGAAAAAAGCAGACAAATAGAATTACTCCATTCAACTTTGAACAGAATTATCTGGGTTCCTGTAAAAGATATCAAAAAGTCATAAACTGATAAAATGTTTACCTTAATATAAAGATTATTTTGTCAATAGACTACTTTTTCTATCTTCTTTAGGAAATGAGTTGTATGAGCTAAAATTTGTCGGTTTTCGATGCATTTCAAAAGAATGACCCCTCACTTTGAACTTTGAACCGATTTAGCTAGCTTCTTGTGATAGAAATTAGAAAGCGGTCAACTGAACATTTTTTATCATAAGTTGAAGACGGTTTTGTCAGTTGACCACTTTTTGATATCTTTCACAGAAACTAAGATACATAGCAGCAAATAAAAAGTGCAGTTAGATTGTCAAGACTGGAAGGTTGAGATTGTGAACAAAAATTTCAGAAGTCAAGTTACAAATTAAAATAGAAAAAAAAGTAAAAAAATAATGAGAAAAAGAGATGGATACAAAAAAATGAAACACACATTTCTGAAAATTCCAAATAAAATTTTTTTTTGACAAATTCTTGAAAACCCAAAATACCATCCTTCCTCCAATAGAAGCCCATCCAAGGCGTCAGCTTTACGCTCTATTAACTCGATTCCTGTGAAAGATGACAAAATTTTGTCAACTCATGGAATACAGATAACATAGTGATAGATCAAAAGTGATAGATCAATCAGTTAACAAATTTCTGATATGTTTCACAGGAATGGAGATAATTGAACTTCAAGTTGACGGTTTTTGTAGGTTTCTATTAGAGGAAACACGGTACTACTGTTTTTATTTTCAAGAACCTTCTGTACTACACGAAAAAATTCCTAAATTCAGGTTGCCAGTTTTCTAGTCACTATTATTCAAATAACGGGAGTGGTAGACAAAAGCAACGGCTAGTGGTAATTGACTGAATGTGAGAAGCGTAAGAAAAATAGTGAGAAGAAGGAAAATCGGGAAGCGGTTTTCTCAAGTGTGAAGAAATTGCAGCAAAAACATTGGCGAAATAAAACACCAGAGTAATTTACTCTTCCAAAACCTTTTTCTCCCTCCTTCCACCTACTCCCAAGAAAAGAAGAAGAGTATATTTACTGAAATAGGAAAAAAACGTGTGAATATAGATATATAGATGTACTTTACATACTTTTTCACTCTTCTCCTTTCCTTTCAAACGTATTAGGTTAGGTTCCCGAGGATGTACACACACGCTCGCTATTCTCTTTCTTGTCTTTTTTCCTATCCTTTTACAAAACGAAAGAGCACTGGACAGAATGGGATGAAAAATGTTCGGATCATCCGTTTTGGAATATGTATATCTATTGGGAGTAATACCGAATGCATGGTGGAATTATTACTCCTCATTTGAAATTCCGGAGTTCATGGACCTTGCCGGAAATTTTTCGTGTTGTGGATGAGTTGTTGGAGAAGAGATTCTAAAGGTTTACTATCTTGCTATGCATTTTCGATAAACATGTTTTCGAAAAAGTGTTTTATGTTCGAATGTGCAACTTTAGTCATCTGATAGAGCCAATTGTTCCAGAAATGAGATTTCGAGAATCTATGTGACAAAAAAGCAAAAATATATATCAAAAAACACGCTCTCTTACAGAAGAATTTGCGAACTGCATATTTTTTCTGATCTACTATGAAAAAATTGAAAAAAATTCACGCCTAAAGCATATTTTCAGCATTTTTATCTGATTTTGTGGAGATTAAAGATAATTCAAATAAATTAAAAAAAAACTAATTAGTGATTATATATTCCTGTATGGTCCTTTTCCGTAAGAAAATCCAAAAATGTCAATTTTTCAGGGTTGTTACAGAAGAAAAGGCCTTTCCTCTTTCAGTTTTTAACATTTCAAGAAGTTTAACAGCTCAAAAGAACCGTGATCCTTTATTCTTCATTTTCTACGGACGAATTTGTATTTTGTCTAATATTACTTTTTCATAGTCGAAAAACCACACGAAATTGCACGAAATTGCATAACAATTGGAAAATTAAATGAAGGATTATGTAACAAACTTGGAAAATTGACATTTTTTGAATATTTTCTTCCGGATAATGACCATACAGAAATCTATAACCACTAATGAATTTCAAAAATTCATTTGAATCATTTCTAATCTTCACAAAATTAGATGAAAATGTTCGAAATATGCTTTAGACCTGAAAATTTCAAATTTTCAACTTTATTAATGGTAAATCACAAAAAATTTTGCAGTTCGCAATTCTTCTGTGGGAGAGCGTGCCAAGGCAAACGTGCCAGAACATACGTTCTTACCTCTTTCTCCTAGAAAAACAATAAAAGGGGAGCCATGCCATATATATTCCATGCAACCATAAAAACGGACTCCACCCTCTTCTCTCCTTCATTCAGCATAAAAATAGCAATTAACCGTTCCTACCCGCCAGTGGCAGTGGGTTGTCGTAATGCACTTAGCGGTGTTCCGAAGGGGAGAAGACAAAACAACCAACTTCTCAACCTAACCAACCGTATGGAACCTAATTTTGGAGTCTCACTAATTTCTAATTTGGCACTACTTACGAAATTCAATTTTGCTAGAGAACCTGATAATGGAAAATATTAGAGTAGGAAGTCAACATTTTACTCAAGAAATCCAGGGAAATACATCACCCAACAAATCCATACGAGAAAAAAAAACGAAACACAAAACAAACAGAGACAAAAATCTCGGAATTGAAATTTGAATATGAAGAGAGAACCAGAGAAGACCCCAAATCCAAAAAGGATGAGCAAACAAGTTGTAAATCAATCTGTCCAAGGGGCGCTGACCTAAAAACCCGAGAAAGAAAGAGAGAATCTTTTGCACTTAAAAAACTAATCCGTTAATAAAGGTCAATGCAAGAAGAATAATCTGAAAAAAAACAGATTAGTTTTGAAGAGGCTGTACCGCATTGAAATTTAGTAACAAAAACTTGGAACTTTAATGAAACACAACAGATGACATACGGAAGGACACAGAAGAAAAATGGGAATGTTTCAAAGAAATCGAACATTTGTCAGGAAGACAAAGAACTCAAAAGTGAAGGTTCTAAAGATTTTGGGTAAGATTAATGAATAGATTTATCCCAGGGAGATGTTCTGAGCGGAAATTCAGTTTGACAACTCCAACTAAAAAAACATAAATTTCAAAAAATAAAGTTTTTTTTTGTTTTCCGACACATTGTTGGATAAATAATTCATAATATTAGCTAGTTCTCTAACATGGAGAGACAACTTTATAAACCCGGAGAACTTTCAAATTGTTTAGCCATAAAACAAATGAACCATGAGGACAATTTGAATTTTTTCTCTCTTTTTGAGATAAGTAACTTCATTTGAATCCATGGAAAAAAGGACGAAAGTAGAAGAAAAAGGAAAGATATGATAACGGAAGAATGGAATCCGAACAGGAAATTGGAATGATATGCTGCTGGTGGTGGATTGTGTAGAGCAACTGGAGAAATCTGGAGATTGATAATAGAAATGGTCATTCAAAACATGTACTGCAGTTCTTCCTTTATTCCAGGGAACCCCTCTTTTTGGTCCTGATGGTCCTCTGAATTTCCTGTTGGTCATCCGAGGAGATCAACACTAGTTGGCGTTTTCTTTTTCTTTCATCATCTTTTTAAAAGTTTGAAATGTGAATTTATTAGTGGAATTTTTTTTGACGTTTGAAGTATTAAATGTAGTCAAATATGATATGTGCAGTAGATTTTTCGATGTTAGTTGTTGAAAATCACAATTTTTGTTTACTCACTTTGAAATTTTTCAAAGTGATTTTATCCGCAAATGAATATTGTGCCTTTCTCATTTGTTATGGAAAAGTTCTTGTTCTACATTTTGTTTTACTGTATTTCATACTTGTAAGAGGCCTTGACGGCCCGGGCTATTCAAAAAAATAACCAAAGCACGATCCGGCCTGGCTATGGTTTCCATTAATTTCTTGTCTTTACAAAGAATATTCGTAAGCTATTAAAAAAAAAGATTTTTGTCAAAATTTTTGAGATTTTTTTCATATATGGGTCACCCGGATTTGACTTTTCAAATACGTTGTATCTGTCTTATATTTTTGTTATGTAATTCTGTAGTTTTGAACTTTTTTTTCAACAACAATTGCTACAACTTCTATTAAAATATTAGTTCCCAGAACAATCTAACGAAAATATCAAAACTTTATTATCTAATTAGTTCAGATATCTCATACTTCCAAGAAAAAAGGTCCCACGTTGGTCAAATAAGTAAAGCTAGATGAGCCCTCCTGTCCCGGAATTGGACATTATTGAAGGCAAGTGGCCTATGCATTCTCTCTCGTCAACCTTCAGGGTCTCGCTCGACATCTTCTTCTTCCCTTCTCCACTTTTTCCTATTTCTTCTTCTTCTTGCTACTGCTAGTTTGATGATGCACCGTTGGTCGGTCTTCCTGGCTTGTCCCCGTTTTTCATCTTCGTGCATTGCATTACCCGGTCGTGGCGCTCCTTAGGTAGTTCAATCTTCTCCAAATAGGGAGGGAGGGGAGTACGCCAATAGACTTTTTCATTTTATCCGTACTAGATTGGTATTGTCAATTTTGAAAAATCGCTTCAAACCTGTTGTGTACTGTAGATCGTTTTTTATTTTTCCACGTAAACAAAGAGGTTCTGAATTAATTTATTAGTAAACAGCGTAATTATTAGTGTGTTGATCTGCGCAATTAAAAAAAAATTGAATAAATGTAAATCCAAGAGGCGGAGATATTGCATTTTTGAAGTATTCAAATCATTGACTTACATTTAGAAAAAAAATTGTTGGCTCAAAATTACAATTTGTGTGATGTACTATTTTTTATATCAATATCAGTATTTCTAGCTGACACAGTTCCGAAGTTTTCTGTTCTAGAAAATTAGATACATCATAATTTTCATTTTAACTTTTTAGATAACTGTCGTTTTTTGTTATACGAGTTCTCCCATTTTTTTCTTGGGAAAAATAGAGTTATACAGAGTTGTTTGTGTTTTGATCTGCTAGTTTTTGATTTTGATTCTAGCAGGAGAACACACATAGGAAAACCCTTTTTTCTCAAGTATTCTCTACTACTCCTTATCTAAATTTGGATATCTTATAACTCTTCAGCTCGTTTCCGTTTTTTTTGTAGTAGCGTTCCGTTTTTTGAATTCGCGTATTTTTGAAACTAATAGTAACTTGAAAAACGTTTTTGCTGACCCCTAAAAATGGAAAAAAAACTCAAATTAACATTTTTCATTTAAGGGAGGAGGAAGAAAAAAGAAGAAAAACGAAACAAACCGAAACGGGGGAAAAAGTATCTTCTTGGTAATTTTTCGTCTACTTCATCATTGCCGAAACAGTGGTGTTGAAAAAAGAGACTCGTGTGCATCTTTTTCTTCTTTTTCTTCCGTGACCGCTACGCGGTTCATTGGGTTTCTTTCCGCTCCTCCCTTTTTGGTCTCCCAAACGAAAATTGGCTCAAAAATGGCTCTTGGCACAATTGTTGAAGAGCATTTCCACCACCCACCGCTGCCGTCGTCGTCACCGCTTTCGTGCAAAAAGGCCACGACCGCTCCTGAAGCGCCACCAGTGATACTACTGCCACAGATTCGTACCAATGAGATGACACTAGGAGAGCGAGTTTCTAAAGTGAGTGTTTTTGCTTTTTTCCAATTGAGATTTCGATATATAACTATCGAAAAAGAATGTTTGAGACATAAAAATTGTTTCAGTTTGTCATTGAAGCGCGATGCACCGACAATATTTTATTTTCTGGAGCAATGGCAGTGGGTGGATTTGTGCTTGTCATGCAAAGTTTTCCAATTTTCATGAACAACTGGGTTTTCCTAACGGAACCTCGCGGAATCAACAAAACCAATGAGAACGGTGAACAATTAGTGAGTGGTGTACAATTATATATACAAAAACTTTTTTCGGTTGATTTCTACTACTTCTGCAGCTCGGCTGTCAAGCTTCCCATCACTTCGAAGATTTTGGGAAATGTAAAACAGACATGAATCGAAAAGTTTGCATTTAGAATATTTTTTTATTCCTAGTTTTTCACATCAGCTATTCGCCAATTTTTGAAAGCCACCTGTTTTTCTCACATTTTCAGTACAAAAAATGGGCTAATGGAAGTCGTTTTTCAGAAAACGAGAAATACCTGAAAAACTAAGTTTTCTCGAAAATTCTGTGAAAACAAAATTTTCAATCTAGGTTTATTTCACACCCTCCAAAGTTTTCGAGGTGATCGGAAACTTGACAGCCAAGCTACAGGCTCTAATGGCCACAAAGCTGCAAATCACGTGTTTTCATATATTCATGGCTAGCACTATTCAGTTATTCCAAAAAACATTCTTGTGAAATTAATTCCCAGCATACCAAAGAACAGTATTAAAAGTTCAGTATTTTTAAGCCGATTTCTGAACTCTTACTATAACGTTTTCTCATTTTTCATGTTTGGTTTGTTTGTTTGGAAGTTCACTTGCTAGAAATTTCTACTAGGCGCCGGATAAACTGGGCCGGGCCCTCAAAAGGTGGAAAAAAGCCCAACAAGTATTTAAATAATTAAATTCAAATCTTCATCTCAAAAATTTCAATCATTTCCAGGAATCAACATTTCACTACAACACGGGATATTTTCAAATATGTCGAGTTCATATCAATAACAACTCAGGAATCATTTACGATGAAATGGAAATACCACGTAATTAGGTTATCACTGTTTACAGATTATCAAAAACATTTTTCAGCATCCGAAAGTGAATATAAATGTTATCTCAACCCGCTTCTCTCTCAAGTGGATCTCACAGACATTTCGCTTGCCTCTCTCGCTGTAATTAGTGAGTTTCCTGATATTTCAGGTGACGTTGTAAACATTCTCAAAACTTTTTTTCAGTACGACTTGGTTCACCAGCTCTTCTACATGTAACCGGTGCTCTGGTATGCTGTTTTGCCTTCTTCTTGGGAGTTGTTGGCCATATCCGATCGTCATTCTATACATTGTTTTCTTCGATTACATATATTTGTGGAAGTGAGTTTTCGAAAAATTGCCGCAGGAAAATTCGGTCAAATTTTAGGTATCATTTTATGTATTGCTGTACTGATGGTTGTATGTGTGGTAGACGACGAACTGGCACCAAGAATGAAACCAAATGCAGCTGGAGAACCAAGCAAATTCAGTTACACTTATGGTTATAAATTCACAAACCATGATCCTTCAATTTCAAGGCATTTCAGGTCCACCATTCTTCTCATCCGCTCTTTCTTTCATACCTGTACAAATTTGTGCTTGCCTACACGCGTTTTTGTATTTTCGAAGATATCCTTCCGTTGTTGAAAAGCTGAAATTTGTTCCTGGACTAGAAGCTAAACGTGAGTTTCTGTGTCAAAATGGGAAAAAACCTCGAATTTCAGTAAGACGAGCGCAATTGGACAAAGAACTAGGGATACCACCGCTAGAAAGTTTTCGACGAGGATCATTAGCCTCATATCTGCCAATACCAAGTTTTTCCCAAGGATCACGGAGAAATTCTCGAAGGTCTAGTCAAGCTTCATTTTCAAACCCAAGTCTTCTTTTTATGCAAGATGTCTGATTTATTATGATATTATTTGAATGTTTTTCTTTATCAGTTATTGAAGATATATCAATAAATACTTTTTCGATATGTAGTATTCAGTTCCAAAAAACGCTACATCCTTGTTTCCAATCTGTTTACAGATTCCATGGAAGATTAGAGGTTTCATTAGAAGTTAAAAGTCTCATATGGAGGTCTCAATGTCATGAATTGAAACAGCACATGCTATTTTTCAACCATTTTAAGTTTTTCACTTCAAACAATATCCTCAAATCTCATTTGCATCGTTCCAAATCGTCATCATTCTGAAATTTCAACGTAGATTATTCCCTACGTTTTTCAGTTACATACCTCCACATAAATGATGACAATTGTCATTTACAGCTAATTACATAGCAAAGTCATCAAGTTTTGAGATTTGTTTTGTCATTATCATCATTTTCTGGAAGGGGCGGCGCGAAGTGTGCGTATATATACCAGAAACGTTATTTCAAAAACATTCATTATCAATAATGCCTTGAGGGCGATGATCCGCTCTCATGGTGTTGTGAGAATGTTCTACCAAGCAACCGTCTGATAGGATGCTCAACTTTATTTTTCTGAACTTATAAATCATTCCTTCCTACTGTCCATTCGTTCAAAAAAAAAAATACATGTCCCAAATCTACCATTCCTATAACCTATATTCTTTGCCACCAAGTATGCCATTGTTCAGATGATACCTGCCCAAATGTTTGCAAGAGGAAGGAATACCCGGAATCCTGCTCTGCCAACAAAAACATTTAGTTGTCAAAGGCAAGAATTATGGAATTGGAAAGATCAAGAAAGCCACAGAAAGAAAGGAACCAGAACCAACGAAGCCTACCGTCGAAATCAAGGAGAACCGAGGCAAAGGAAAAATGCCATATGCCACCAAATTCATTGAAGCTGGAACGTTTGCGGTTACTTTCCCAAATAATCACATTCCGGAGGAGGAGAAGATGGCAAAAGTCAAGATTTTGGATTCAAAAATGAAGCCGATTCTGGATTGACCGTCACTGGATTCATCACCATCAGATCGAAGGAAGAGGGACTGATTCGTCTACTTTCAAATTTTACTGTTTCACCTGGTTTTTTTTTTGTAATTTCACTCATAACTTGAAAAGAAATGAACCGTGTACATCTGATACTCTTTCCTTCTTGTTCATAAAATACCACAAAACAACTGTGAAGTTTGAACAACGTATTCGAGAAATTGAGCCAATAAATGGAAAACTTTCAGAAATTGTGATTTTGAGTATTAACACACATTCTCTGAGATTTTCGAGCAGCCCACTGTACAAAAAAATCAAACTGTTCCAAATGTGTTGGTATTACATACAGTTAGTACACTTGAACTTTTAAGAATTTTGAAAATACTTTTGATTGGCTCCGCCCACTTGGATCCGATCTGTAAAACTCGCTGACCAAAAAATAAAATTTTTTATTTTTTGAGATAGAAACGAAATCTTTATTGGAGTAAACGTTTTTTGTTATTTTAAGCATATTCTATGTTGAGACCAAAAATGTAGAGCTTCACCTTCCAGTAGAAAACTTCCTTCTTTCCTGATTTTCGGATTTTTTCGCAGTTTTTTTCAAGTTTTCAAATTTGGTCTAGGAAAAAATTATACAAGCGATAAGTTGGTGTCATTTAGACTTTTTGCTGAAACACATATTTGGGCCTTCAGCTATATAGGACCTAAATTTTTTAAAGCAATCAGTCTCTACAAAAAATTTCACATACTAAGCATTTTCCAGGAAAAAACCTCACATGCTAGAAAACCTTGAAAAAATGTTCTAATTTTTTGGGAGGTTGAGTTCATAAAATGTTCCAAAAATGCTTTGGACTTTATAGAAAACAAAGACTTTTGTGTTTTTTGAATTGCACATATGTTTTTTCATCTGTCCTCAGAACATGTCAATACTCTAACTCTTCTTTAAAAAAAAGTTATAGTCATCGGAACCCAAATTTCGATTTCTCAGTGATTCTCATTGATAAATCTCAAAATAAAGCGATAAGTGCGCCGGTATTGTTTTTGAATAACGTAATCTCATTAAATATATTCAAATTCGCAAAGTAAACAGAACTGCAAAAAAACTGATAATCAAAAATAAATTTCGAAATTTCTCAGTAGTCGAAGAAATCGACATTTTCGCGAAATTCGTTACCGTAAAACCTGTAATAGAAGTGCCCCCTGACTTTCAATTTTGAGCCCATTTATCTCAACTCCTATGAGAGATATCAAAAATATGTCAACTAATAAATTGTTTA